TCTATCATTTCAACGTATGTACATATGTGCTTTATGTTTTTTATTATTACTTATTTACCACAAGTAAAGTTCAGGTATTATCTTTTAAATTTATTTTACTGTTTCACTTCATTACTGCTGTGTATGTGCTCCATGTGAGTGACGTAGGTGCTTATGTAGGTGGGTTCTGACTTACGGCAAAAATTTTGTTACTTTGCGCCGTAGGAACAGATCTCCGACTTAACCCGAGAACCTACTGTATATATATAAAAGCCTAAGTGATTGTCTGACTGACTGACCATCCAGTAGCTATGACACACACTGACCACCAGGGGGCAGATGCTCAACGCAGGAGCTGCCAAGCTTCGGTGACTTGGCAGCTGTGGAACCACAGAGGAGGGAGCCTGATTCTGGGGTGTGTCACCTGAGACCTGCCCTCTCGCAATTTGGGACCCCTCGGGGGATGCTAGAGAGCTGGTTTTGGCCCGATTCCAGCAGGCCAGGCTGAGAGACCCCACCGGTGCACAAATCTGTGCACCAGGCCTCTAGTAGAAGATAAAAATAGATATGTAGACAATTACATTATCCAACTTTATCCTTATGTATAAAACAGATTTCAAGGAGTAAAGCAGCTATGTCACTTCGGAATGTTAAAGCAGTGATTTTCAACTGGTGTGCTGCAAGAATTTTTAAAACATACAATACCTAACTATTTTTCCCTTAGATTGTCAAATTAAAAAAAAAAATGACTACAGCCAACACAATAGCCATCTGCTGTGAATGAGTAAAAATTATACCTTTTTTGTGTGTGTCAGATTGACCAAAAAATATGTATTGTTGGTGTGCTGCAGAATTTTAGTAATGAATGTGTGCCATGAGATGAAAAAGGTTAAAAATCTATGTTGAAGGTGTCAGAGAGCAAGTGTTTGAGCTAAGGCTTGAAGGATGATAAGGAGTTTGTTGTTACCAAACTAAGTGAAAGGCAATCTGTAAAGGTTTGATGGTTAAGAAGAACATGAAAAATAGGAAGTTGAAGAGAATGGAAGAGTTAAAGTTTGAAGTATTATCTAAATAATTACACTGACAATCTGAGAGATAGGCATATATCTACTTTCTTGACATTAAACACAAAGATTTTTAAAAAGTTATTGAGCACAATTGAGGCCTAGGCAGTAAATTGAGGACTGATATGTTGAATTAGAGTCAACTCATTCTAAAAGGGCCTTAGGAAGAGGGTATGGAACAGTGAGGGCAGGAATAAACAAATGGAGTATTTTTTCCCCAGTAACCTTGAGGACAGGGATCATGTCTGTATAGTTCATTCTAGTTTGCTCAATGTCTCTTAGTGAATGTTAAGATAGTATGTTTTGAATTAAAGTATTAAGTAATATTTTAATCAGACAAAAATTAAGAAAAATCACATCTTATATCCCTTTTTATTAGAATAATGCTTTGATAATTGTATCTACAAAGCAATCTTTTTGTTAGCCTCAAATTATTATCAGGGTAGACAGAATTTTTAGTATATCTGATTTAGATTACATAACCAGTATTTAAAACAGTGCAAATAAACTATAATGGATGTTTAGATATAAGTAACAAAAATGATAATGGAACATTCCTCTTCCAGGTTTTACATATTTACAGTTTGCTTCAATTTAGGGAGAAGAACTTCTACTGAAGTATCTCAGAGGGTCAACTTAGAGGAAGGACTTCCACTGAAATGTTCATGTACTTTTTTTGGAAATAATAGGCATGATACTAATGACCTTGGAAAAAAGGTTTTAATATCAACATACTCAGAATACAATTTCTGTGTGAATACAATATATAATTTTAAAATATAAATTATAAAATCATTAATTTTAGAAAGTTTCCAAACTATCTAAATACCAAAAGAAACCCATATTCTGGCATAAAATTGAACCATTTTCTATATATTATACCAAAATTAAAGTTTACCCGTATTCTAACATTGAGAAATAAGATAAAATATCAACATTAAAAAGT